TATTTAATTTACTATCTTCTGCAAATGATGGCGTTTTCTTAAGATTAATTAGTTATACAATTAATTATTTTGATTCATTATTTATATTATTAATATGCCTTTCATGATAAGTTTAAAACATTATGTCTTGTAATGTATATTTGTTCAACACGTTTTAAAACAACTATTTCAAATAAAATATTCTTTTAAGATGCCTGCTCAAAATATTTTGCATAAAAAAGTTTACTTTTTTTTTATATTTGTTAATTCACTTTTAATATCTCAATTTCTAAAATTTATTGACATTTAGTTTTATCATTTAGTTTTATTGTTTGAAGCTTAACAATGATTTATATAGGTTTTTGTCGCACTGGATCTAAATTTTTAAGGCTTAAATCTCCGTTTTATCTTTTTTTGTATTAAAAGATTTTTTTTTGGGCAATTTTTTGCAAAGTTTTTTGTGTTGCTTTTGTTTTTCTATATTTAGTGCCTCAGTTTAATAATATTCTCGATATTTTATAAAATTAATTAAGTTGATAAATTGATTTTATTTCAAAACAATTAATATGTAACAACTATGTCATTTCTCTTTTAAATAGCATGTTAAATATCATATTGTTTGTTACATTATTTCTATAAATCATGCTTAATCCACAATGAATTCTCTTATAGAAATTAAGTTAGGCCGCTTAAGTTATTAAAGTAAACAATTAAGAGAAACCATGAATATGGCTCACTGCAAGCGCTTCTTTTTTTTTGTTTTGTAAATTCGCAACTATTTACAGGTTTTCTAGTCTAATTTTTTTTTAAAATGTAACCCAAGAAAAGTATTAAATCCACAATTTATATATAAATTTTTAAAATTAAAACTAATGTAACAAAGTAAATGGTATCTAACAAGCTAACTAAAATATTAAAAACTAAATGTTGAAAAAAAATAAATGTTCCCTTCGTCTAACTACTACTAATTAAGTCATTAACTACCATTAGTTAATTCGTTAAGAGAAACACCATACTTTTTACAATATCAATATGCGTTTGTTTTATGAATTTGTTTGGTAATCAGAATGACGAATCATATAACCGCTCAGCAAACACTCTATAGTGGAATTTCAGTGGATTTGCAAAGGTATTTTGAGCGGTCTACTGTAGTTTTGCTAATCGGTTACTTACTTATTAGGGTCATAAATAGCAGGCGCTAAAAGTGGCTATCCGATGACTAGCCACTATTAATATATCGGAAAGTTATTGGCTGCCTATATTAGGCGACTACCACTATTGGCCCCCTGAGTAATTATTGATAAAAACTCCAATAAACAGCTCAAAAGTTATAATATAGGTCCGCTGCAAATCCACTAAAGCAATGTTTCTGGTCAGTTATCAAAGTAAAAGTAACATCACCATTAAGGTGGTAGTACCCTTTAAGAGAAAAAAAATTTAAAATTTGATATTATATGGGAGCATTTATGTTTTTCTGAAGTGTTAGATTAAATCATTTCAAAAAATAACAAAATTAATTTTTTTTACCCCTCTGCTCAATAATTATGCGCATAAATTAGCAAAATTTAGGCAAAAAAATTGACCTTTTTTTAACAAGAATATCTTGAGAACCATATAAGTTCTGCAAACCAAACTTAATAAGTAGTTTTATATATGTTCAAAAAATGTGCTGAATTAAAAATTATACAATAAACAACATTTAATAACTTTAAAATCATTAAATTCTATCAATAAAAAAAAAAAGTATAAGTACAGCTTGCTAAAGCTCAAATTTTAATACTTTAACATAAAAAAAAAATAATTTTCTTTGGTTCAGCACATCACAAATACACTCAAGAATAATTGCTGAAAATTTGAAAGAATTCCAATGAGCGGTTAAAAAGTTATCTTTGTTAAAAAATTAAAAGATACACAAAAAGTGAATCGCTTGAAAAACACAATTTAAAAAAATATTAAAGTTTTTTACACAATAAAACCTACTAAAAACCACCACTGTTGTATGTAACAGCTTCTGCTTCGTTATGTTGGTCAATAAAGCCTTTTTTAATAGCTCTTAGCTTTTTCCTCCTGTTTTTTGTGGCACCTGTACTTTTTATCTCATTCTGCTTAACGCGAACATAATCTACATTTAGAGAACTTTTTGTTGTAAAATATCCAGGCACAACATTACATTTTTCAAACACTGGTAGTAAACCCTGAACTCCATTATTGAAGCTAATTATTGCAGAGGCCAAAGCAATCTCAACAACTGTTTTTTCCACATGTACTCTCTTGGGTGCGCGAGCCCAAACCATCCCATTTAGCGATTCATTGACATTTTGAGTTTGGCCATGTAAACATTTCTTGAGCAATTCATCACTGCCAAGATCTTTGTAAGAAAAAATTGGCTTAATGAGCTCAATTATAGCTTTTGGAATACACTTTGAATTGTAATTTTTCTGGTCTGAATGATATTTACACCATGAACTTGAACCTTTAGGGCAAAACTGGTGCTGTTCCTCTAAGTTGTCAGATTGTGCGCAGTGAAAAAGTACTGCAGCAACAGCCTTTTTCATCCCATATAGACTATCAATGTTTTGGCGTATTGCTATTCCATAATAGTTTTGAAGAGTATTTATCCACTTATCAGTTAATCTCCCTTTCCCACTGATGTATTTTCCATCTGATAATGTATTACCTTTGTAACGATCTCGCAACATTCGTAGTCTTGCACCAACTCTCTTCTGAACATGTCCTATGCACTCTGCTTTCTCAATAATTTCTCCTGGGTATGGATTTGCATCACATACTTGCATATAAGACTTGGTATCTCCATCTCCAATGTATGTTAGGTACTTCAGTTTAAGCTCCTCGACAGATCGCTTGAATATTTGTACAGCGCCTACAGATTCCATACTTCCTGAGCTACCCTTATGATTGATCTTGCAGTTATGTGCGATCTTCCAGTTCTCATAAGCCGGAGTACCTTTTCTTCTTGACCATATCTTGCAGGGGTAACAACTTTTTGTCTGGACAACAGCATCAATACACTTTCCATGAGATATTGCTGTGACTATACCATTCATTGAGGAGTATCCTCTGCGCTGCCATGAACCATCTAAACTAACAGCAACATTGACAATTGAAGATTCATCATAATTTTCACCAAGTTTTTCCCTACGTATGTCCTCTGAGGCTTTTTTCATACTCTGTCTAGAGGTTTCAATGTAAGCAAGGTGAAGTTTGTTATTAATATTATGGTAACCACGTTTAGTCATACCTGGAGGCATATTCATTAAACGACAAAAAGTATTAATTGCTGTGTATCCTTGCCCCATTTCTCGAAAAGCTAACACAGTACGTAGGTTAATTTCTTTCATTTTTTTACCTTTGATTACATCATTTTTATTTTCTATTGATTTTGAAGTTAAAAAATTTATCATCCATGTACAATCTTGACAAGAAATTATGAAAGTGTGAGAAAGACCCTCTTTTTTATTAATGTCATGTATAATATTGATTGACGCATAACATTCTGGGCATCTTCCAACTGTTTTCAACAAACTTGAAAATAAATTTGAGTTTATAATTATATTACACTCTTTTTCTATATAATCAAAGTTTTCTATATCTAAAAGAGACAAGTTTATTTTTTTTCCAGATGCCGATCCACTTACATTGGTTGGTAAATGTGGAGACAAAACAGTTTGTTGTAAAACATTTGAATTATTTAGAGAATCTTTTTCTAATTTATAAAACTTTCTTTTCTTTGCTCTTGATTTAGCATATCTTTTTTTTGAACCCATTTATCAGACAACTAATCAAAATTATCCCTCAATCGAAGAAAATTTTATAAAAGGATAACTATCTATATATTGCAGAAACAAATATGAGGTTTCAATTTATGGATATTAGATCAAAAACTAACAAGAGTTCTTAAGGAACAATTTAATCATAAGCACACAAAAAAAGCATATAAATTGAACTTTTATTTTTCAAGATATAGCAAGAAATGTATCTTTAAGGACCGTTGCTAAGGCAATTAATTTTCCAGTACCAAATTATTAAGAGTAATTTAGGCCTTTTGATTATTTTTTTTTTAATTTTTTTGAATTATTATAAGAGTAGACATGATCAATGAATGAAAATTGTTAAAAAAAAAATTTTGAAAAAAAAAATTATTTAGCCTGTTTTTTGGGGTACTACCACCTTAAATAAAGCCATTTTAGTATTTGTTGTTAAAATAGTATATAGGATGTTCAAAAAATTAAAATTTGAGCAGACATGGCGCAGCGGTGGTAGTGCACTTGCCTCGGAAACAAAAGATCTTGGTTCAAACCCCACCTCCGCGCAGATTTTGCAACATCGGTTAGGAAGGAGGCGTGAACTTCTAAATAAATGCTCATCCACGTTGCTCTGTAATAACATAGTATGGAATTCTTGGGACACCAAAATAGATATATAAAAAATAAACATTTAACTATGCTTTTGCATTACTAGCCTCTGACAATTTGTGCAAGTTTGACCAATATAGCATTTGTGAAAGACCTTATTACTAAAGTAATTTTGGATGTTCCTTTTCAGTTTTTACTCACTGATAAGCAGGTATAATTATTATATAATATTACTCGAGTAATGTATTTTAAAAACTTTAGAGCAATTTTATAAAGATTCATTTTTATTTGTCAAGCTAATTCAAACGCGTTAATATCTAACTTTGATTAATAAAACGTAGTGTTATATAAAACATTTAAACTCTGATTTAAAGAATTATATATTCATGATATAACACAAAAATAAATTAAACACGAAAAAAAGTAAAGATTGTTTAGTTGGTTTTTTGATTCTAAATTATCAACCGAATTTTAATAAAAAATAAAAACAAAAAAAAGTTTTATTTTATTAGCCTTTTTATTTTGTTTTTTGAAGATTCCTGTAAGAGTAGGAAACGTTTTGCTTATAATAAATGTTTTTTTTTGTAAGTTCTACTAGAATTTTTTAAAGGAATTTGTATATTAGAGGCTACATTGAAGAAATCTCAA